TAAATAGTTGAAATATTCCTACATATATATCAATTATTACAAAATGTAATTAATAGATAGCAAACATTTATTTTGTTAACATGAATAAACATACATGCACAACTCTTCTCTGTGTATGTTATATTCACAATAATAATAAAATTACATATAACATAAATAGATACTGCTAGAAAATAATAATTTTAGCGCATTAAATCAAAAGTTCGATAAAAAAATGTTACAGAGACGTACATATACCTAACGATATTACCTATTACGTAAAATTTGCGAACTTTAATATATATATATATGTATGTCCGTTTAGGTATTTTACAAAGTATAAGTGAAACTCACTTATACATTTTTGATTTGAATTATTTATGCAACTGACAATGTAATTCAATTTTAAATACGCTCTTTCTTTTAGCAAAAGACATTACGTTTCTCTGTTATCGTTATCACGTCTATTAAAAGATTATGGCGAAAACAAAGAAACATTCATTATAAACACCCCGAAAATGTCTGTTAAAAAAGTTAAAAATATCTCTTTGCTTTTCAATAGCAATTTCGAATAAAATTTTATTTTCACTTACCTGGTAAACCGCAGATTTAGGGAGGTCTAAACAAACTGCGCAGCACAAAATTCCACCCAGCCTTTGTTCTAGCTTGTCACTTTTTACAGATGGACTCGAAATTTTCCGACGTTTTGAACACGGTTCGCCATTTTCCTTTTGTTTATCACTACTTTCAACATTTTCGTTTGGTGATTCGCTGCTCGAAGTTGCAGCTTCCGTTTCCGACATATTTGCAAATTTTTGAGGTTGATCTTAATCAAAATACTGAACAGCTGACGTACTAATACGAGTACCCTCACTCAACCTAAGAACAGCTGTGCAATGAACACAGATGAATGACGTTTATATTTGTCTTTTCTTCCCGTCATTTTCTCGTTCCTTCACTGCCGATAGGTGCAGCTTGCTCGATTTTAGCAAATGCGCAATCTCTTCGCCCAGGAACGTATTAACAAATTTTTGTAAATTAGTACACATTTAAATGTTACTATAACTACATTAATTCATATTTAACAAAAATATGCGGAAAATTTAACAAAACAACGTCATTCACAAGTAGCTGTATTGTATTATACATTATTTTCTGTTCCTCAATTTTGACGTTTCAAAATTATTTTTAGGAAGCTAAATTGTATTAATTTTTGACTGGATTCTATTTGTACAATACAAACATAAAAATTAAATGGAAAGAAATTTCCTTTTATTTCAGCTCTTTTGCAAATTATTAGAAAATCATTGTTTTATTTTTTTTTGATAACGTTTAATTATTTGTTTAAATTTTAAGTTAATCCGTTCCTGTTTTTTTCAATCCATTTTCAGCGATAACTTGTTAGTTCCCTCTATGTAATAGCAAATAAACTAAAGGAAAATATGCAACATAATTTTGCTGAACTTGCGCAGTGATGTTCTATATGTGGAAGTGGGAGTTTGGCAATGGCTGCCGAGTGTAATGGTCGTAGCACAATGGATCCAGCATCAGAAAATGAAAATGAGACAGTTGACCGTTTAAAGAAGTTATATCCTGCGGTAAACGAAGATAAAACACCTCTTCCAAGGGCTTGGAGCGTTAAAGAAAAGTACAATTACATAGGTTTGTCCCAGAACAATTTGCGTGTTCATTACAAAGGTAAGACCTTCAAAAATTTACTTTTAAGTAAATTATCTTTTACGCAGTTATTTTATTATCTTATTTATTCAACATGAGTACATATCGACTATTTTAACTAACGAAGAAGATGTCATCGACCTTAAACGAATTTACTCAACTTCCTACAAACAAAGAAATCAGCTGATATTGACATGAGCAAAAAAGTACACGATTTGCGTAGTGTTTTATATACATATATTGTCTATAAAATTTGTGTGATTTATAACGATAATTATAGCCCTATTTTATTTCGTAAATGTTTGTCAGATTTTCTTCCGTAAAAGTAATTTCAATGATAAATCGTTAGTTTTTTAAATTAACATGAAGTAAATTTAACAATAAAAGAAAATGTTGTATGAGTTTGGACTCTGTTTTTCGCATTTTTATAAATAATTATTGTAGTCATTATTTGATATGAAAATCAGCATGAGTATCTCTACTTTCAGGACATGGCAAAACACACAGAGATGCTGCAAGTGTTCAAGCTACCCACCCTATTCCAGCAGCATGTGGTTTGTATTATTTTGAGGTAAAAATAGTAAGCAAAGGTCGTGATGGATATATGGGCATTGGATTGTCTGCACAAGGTGTTAACATGAATCGGCTACCAGGTATGTACTCTACTTACAAACTTTTTCTAAACATGAAACTTGGGTAATAGTAGTAGATAATTAAAAATAAATATAGATAGGTTATACAATGCTCATGGTGCATCTAATTATTTGTCTGATATTACATGCACAATAAACACATTAATGTTTTGAAAACAAAATTGTATAGCTGATACATAACTAACATATTTTTAAATAAGTTACATTTCTAAGGTCTGTAAATATGGTAATGACTTATTGTTACATAGTTTGATTTCTAGCATTATTATTTTAAATATTTGTTTTTAACTGACAATCAGTAAATTTAAGTCCCTTAGATTGGTAAATAGTGATATATGTATTTATTTCTTCTAAACAACAATAATTTACATATTATAGATTTTAGATAATCAATAGTAACATATATTTGAACTGTAAACCATATATAATTTGGTTTATTTGTTTCTTTATTTTGTACTTGATTTGTACATAAATAATGTACAGGTGAAGAAAGAATTTAATTTAAGAAGCAAAAAAAATAAGATGTAGTCAGAAATTTTAATAATATGAGAAATAACTTATTTTACTGAAGAGAATATAAAAAAGAAGCACTATTAATAATTCAGCGTTAAAATAGATTATTTATGAAATGAATGGAGGTAACAGAATCCTGAAAAAAAAAGTGTTTTGGTTTTGTAAAGCTATTCGCTTAATTGTTGTAATGTAGAGCAAAACCAATGCTAGGACGTGTTGCTTTTACCTGCATTTCAGACATGCGAATAAATCAGGAAAGCTCAAGTTCTAGATGTGTCTAGAATGTCATGAAAGGTGTTACATGGAGCTGTATACTGTGTGTAGGTTGGGACAAACAGTCGTATGGCTATCACGGTGACGACGGCCACTCTTTCTGTTCCTCGGGCACTGGGCAACCCTACGGCCCCACATTTACCACCGGGGACGTTATTGGCTGTGGAGTTAATCTAATAGACAACACCTGCTTTTACACAAAGAACGGACACCATCTTGGAATTGCCTTCACCGACTTACCTGTACGTTATTCAATTTCAAAATCCACATTATATTGTTTAGAAGTTAACGTATGTATTTTCGACTAAGACTATTATCGTTTTTCAGTCGATTTCTAGTTTGTGAAATTTTTAGGACTTCATAGCTACATACAACTCTTAAAGTTTTGTCGTATTTGTCAGGTCACAGAACAGGTCCCCACAGGATACCTCACTCACGGTTGTAAAATAAATAGGTATCATCACAATACAAAAATTTTATTGTTATTCATTAAATGATTTTCTTAATAGGTGTAGTCAATCCAAACAAAAAAGTATTTTGTACTTTTTACTTTTTCTAAACCGTTGACAATTTTAGTATATATTGTAATAATTCGTACCTGGTTATCCTAAAAATATAGATTACATAACATCCTACAGAGAGGAAGGTCGATTCGCTATGTTTAGAAATTGTATGTATGAATAATGTTTAAAGGAATTAATTTGAGTATTCTTAACAATTAGATTTTTTTCATGTGACATTATTATTTGTTGACTACATGTTCGTAATAACAATTTGCAACAACATATGCAAACAAAACATAAGTACTAAATCCTAATATAGAAACATTGAAAAAACTTAACAAAATGATATGAAATAAGGTGGGGTAGGATCAAGTCTTCATTGTGTATTTCTATCAAATTTGCTATTTTATTTTCATAGTTTTTACGTCATATTATTTTTTTGTTTGTAGCCTAATTTATACCCAACGGTAGGACTTCAAACACCTGGTGAAGTGGTGGATGCGAATTTCGGTCAGGAACCTTTCGTATTCGACATAGAGGATATGATGAATGAACTTAGATCTCGAACACATCTTTCCATCCACAATTTTCCAGTCCCGGAAAGTCAAGGCGAATGGCAAGCGATTTTAAACAAGTAAGTATCTTAACTCTATAATGTAGTACTTTTTCATACTTTCAATTTTTTTTATATTGTTAATCCAGTTGTTGTTTTTTTACGCTTTCATATTTACTTGTTTCTGAGAGGTATTGTGTAAACATTTCTTTCAGAATGGTGTCTACTTACTTAGTCCATCACGGTTATTGCAACACGGCAGAAGCATTTGCTAGCGTAACTAATCAACCTTTTAACGAAGACATTAATTCAATTAAGAACCGGCAAAGTAAGTGACGAAACTAGTTATTGCCTTTTTTTTAATTCCATTCTTAAGTCTACTTTTTAATTAAATAATTGGTTGACAATTTTTTTTGCTTGTTTTCACTGAATTGCGCAGTGGCCAAACTCCGCCCCTTCATTGATTTCTTCTTAAACAACATTGACCGTCAATATTCACATTTTGTCCTAGGTCTCCATCCCCGATTGTATAGCGAGGCACCATGAGATTTTGAAACACTTTCACATGATTCTTTTTCCTTTATATTTCTTTTTATACCGTGAATATCATTACTAATCAGTTCTATTTCGTTCGATACTTCTCTATTGTCTTTCACTTCTCAGTCTTCCCTTTTTCTTTTGATAGTATCTAGTTCGTTACATCCTAATCCTGCGTCATCCAACCCTCATTTTTATAGTTTTTACTATTTATAGAGATATTAAAGTTGGTGTTGGCCGGTCGAATGGGAGAGGCCATCGAAAAGACCCGCAGATTATATCCAGGCTTGTTAGAACACAATCAGAATCTGCTGTTCATGCTCAAGTGCCGTCAGTTTGTTGAAATGGTAAACGGATCAGACGTGGAAGTACGCCACAGTCGTAATGCATACTCTCCTGCCTTCAGCAATTCGTCTTCCCGCCCATGCAGTCCTATCCAGACGTCGGTTATACAATCGACTAAGAATTATAGCAATAAACCAAAACCTACCGTAGGTGAGCAGAAAACATGTGTAGATGAGTTGTATAATTCCATTTTTAGTGAAAAACTGATTTTTTAATTTAATAATTGATATAAACATGATCTTGAATTCTTTTTTGCCCACTACACACTTCCTCAAATTAATGAGGAAAAATTTGTTGTTGTTGTCACACCCCCGCCGGGAATCGAACCCGGGCTCTTTGGCTTTACGCGCCAATGCTTTGACCACTAAGCTACGAGAGATGACAACAGCAACAACGACAAACCGTACTTATTAGGTCACAAATCCGTCGAACTAATATATACTATGTTTAAACATACATACAATTTTTTAGACATCTTTTAGAAAATTTTTCCTCATTAATTTGAGGAAGTGTGTAGTGGGCAAAAAAGAATTCAAGAAATGAATTTTCAGAATAATATTTCATATTAAACTAACTCACTTCTAAAAGATGTCTAAAAAATTGTATGTATGTTTAAACATGATCATTATATTGATCCGGAGATTAACTAGATGATTATTATAGAAGCAATGAACCAAAACAACATAGCCTTGAATGGAAACAGTGTAGCACCTGCTGTGATAAAAAATGGGGAGGAGAGTGACGTCGAAATGGATACGGAGGAGGTCCAGAATGGTTTTGAGGAGAGCGCCTGTAACGGTAAAACTAGTAAAAATGGCAGCACCAATGGCTACCAGAATGGCAGCAGTAATCATGTCAATTGCACTTATGAGTGCGTCGATGGAGATAGTGATGAGGATATGGGTAAGAAAATAAGTCGCCATGTATTGAAAACGTACTCGCATTAGTTTTTTTCTGGGTTGTGCTTGTCGTGGATAATAGAATTCAAGACAACTTGGAAAAAAAATTGTGTGTTTCATTCGCATTAACTACTAATGTTAGTGGGCAGGCAGTGCTTTTAGTGCAAAGCTGAAGGGAAAGACGGAAAGCCCTCTTCAACCTCCTTTTAGGAACTATGTTGATAGGAGGTGGTTGGGGAGAGACAGGTGACACAAATGAAATGAAGGCCGAGAAAAAATGAAATTTTACCTGTGAAATATTACTGTCCTAGCATTTAATCCACGGAAACAACAAAAAAACATTTTGTATTTCGTTTTATTGCTACATTGTAGTTTGTTTTTTCAAATGTTTGCCTTTAGTAGCATTATGTGCGTTATTAATGTTTTACTTTTTTTCTTTTAGAAATCGATAGTACCGTTAGGAAAACATGCAAACCAGCAGTAGAACGAATTTTAGAATTTGGAAAGGAATTATATTGCATGAGTCAACGGCTTAAGGGCGAAGATAATGTCAACGGTCAACAAAATGAAAAAATGCTCGAAGTAATTTCATTTATGCCCTAATATTTTCGTGGTCTTTTAATCTAACATTTAATTTTTGTAGGATGCATTTAGTTTACTAGCATATTCGAATCCCTGGTCCAGTCCAGTTGGCTGGCAGTTAGATCCTATTCAACGAGAATCAGTGTGTGCATTTTTAAATTCAGCTATTTTAGGTAAGACAACTTAAACTTTCATTTAAAGAAATAGCATAAAAATCAAGTATGAATTCTAAAACAATATTTTCTTCTCGTAGTCCCTTTCTAATAATTTTCTCTTTTTTTTACTTTGATATTAAATCTGATTTTGTTGTACGTATTATATATATTATGTATTTATTATCCATATCGCCCTTTTATTTCCTGCTATTTCCAATATTAAAAGCGACTCGATCTTGTTCTAATAAGAATAAGAATTTATTTTGTTATCATTTCAAGCTTTCTAGTAATAAGCCTCTTTATTTTTATGGTTCCCTAATTAGGTGAAAAATGGAAACTGTTTAACTCTATCTCATATAGCTGTTTTTATTGGAAACTTAGTTTCTTATATAAATTGATCTAATTTCGCAGTACAGGCATATATCAGTATATTCTTTCTACATTTATGTTTTAATTGAAGCTGAAGACTTATTAGGAGTGGAAGATTTTATTACTATCTTGACTAACAGATCATTATCATACAGCAACGTAATTTTAGTCCAAATGATTTCTTCAGAGAAAATAAAACGATTTAATGAAAATCACTTAGAAATTTAAAATATGGCATAACAGTAGATTAAGTTGACCGTTATTATTGTGGTTCCTTATTCTGTTCTTTTGTAGGTTCACAGAATAAACCACGAAAACCTCCTCTCGAAGTGGCGATGGCCCATTCGGAAGAGTTAATCCGATTGATGTCCAGTTCCGGGCTGGGATCATGTGCCTTCGCCTCTGTATCCGATCTCATGGAACATTGACTACCGTCGAAGCTCCCTAGAAATATTTCAAGTGCGCCCATGACTGTTCCACTACCCCTACAACTACAACCGCCGCCGTCGCTCCTACTGCTACCACCAAAACGACGAAAACGTCATCATCAATCGATATGCAACCAGTGCCACCACTTGTTGCTCTGTTGTCAGCGATGATGCGGGAGACGACACGCCCCTATCATGCGTTCGCGGTACGTGTGAAAGTTTTTTTTTTTAATAATAATATATAATTGTCAAAAGAACATTATAATAGAAGAAATTATACTTCATTAAAAATAATAATAATAATAACGATGATGATTATGATAATGATGTGTTCGTAGTTTGTTTGTCTTTGCGAAAAATAGGGTTTCTGTTGCTTTACGATGAAAGAAAAAATATTGAACAGCTCGAATGATTGTTATAATTCTCAAGCAATTTTTTTTTTCTTCATTTATTTGAATGCCATTTAACATATCATTTCATTTTAGTAACTAAAAATAAATATAATGCAGTTCTAGTTCATCAAATTAGGTTTGAACCGTAATTATTACTTTGTTTTTTCGTTGTAACGTAGGTACTGTTTAAAAAACGGAGGAGGTTTGCATTTTAACTGCAGATAATAATAGAAAATAAACTTTTATTAAACTAATTTCTAATTCCACATAGCTATCATAATTTTTTCTTGATATTTATTTATTTAATTTAACTTTACAGTATACAGACTCGATACAATAAATCAGTAAATAGAAAGTTAAATAACACATTGGTTTTTAATCATATCACATTAAATGATACTAAATAGGTTAAAAAGTAGTAATCTGATGCGTATTCAATCAGTCTTCGGGCTGAACATTTTATGATGAAGATGAAACAATGGATATTAACGTTGAAAAGTTGGTGTAACCGTTGTGTCTGACATTGCCCATAGCAATGTGATGAATTTTTGACTTCTTGTCTTTCTTGTCGAATGTTTTGTTGGTTCGATGGCTGACTGACTTTGACTCTCTTGGCCAAAAACCGTTGTGTTGATGGATTCTTTCATTTCAATTGTCTCACTTTTGGACTAAAATTTTCATAAGTGAATTTACGTCGGCCTTCAATCTTCAGGTCTGTTTTTGGCATTTTATTTAATTTATCATCAAATGCCCACCAAAGGGCATTGTTTTAATAGATTTAGTATCATTTGATGTATGATACGATTAAACCAATAAGTTATTCATCTTTGAAATACTATCTTTCACCCTCTGTATTTTTTTAAATTTATGTTTCAATGAAAACTTCACATATTTATCAGTACTGGCAAATTTTATTATCTCTGGTGATATCGTTTCGACCAAAAGATCATCATACAGTAACGTAACTCTAGTCCAAACGATCTAAAAATCAACGAAAGTGTATTTCTTTCACTATTATTATGAAGAATGTTGCACACACCATGCACAATCTAAATAATTGGTTACTTTCTAAAAGGCTGCTTTTGTATTGTATTTTATTTACTAAAATGAAATACTTAGAAACTGATGCAGCTTTATTATATTTTCTTTGTCAGTATCTTGTCTCCGTAGAAATAGAATTGATGCCATTTCATTTTCTGTGGGATATAAGTACAAGTTGCTAGTTTGCGAAGATATTCCTAACAGTTTTCTTTTAATTAATCTATACATATATTTGTTGTTTTATTGGTCGTGAAGTGTATTACATTGACAAGGAGCCTCTCGTATAA